TGATTTTTGGCGTTGTTCTGGAAGTTTACATTTCAGGAATGTGAAAAACTTAGGTCTTTCTTTTCTCTATACTTCTAGTTTAAAATTATAGAATGTAATATTATAAAATTATATTTATATTTAAAAATATACTAAAATATATTTATATTTTATTTATATATGTATATTCACATATGTAAAAATATTTATATTTTTTAAATATAGAATGTAATATTAACAAAATTCATATTTTTAAAATATATTTGTATTATATACACACACACACATATAGTGTGTGTGTGTGTGTATATATATTTATATTTTAAAATTATAGAGGGTAATATTATAAAATTATATATTTTTAAATATATTATATTACATTTTAAAATATAAATATAGGTTTTAAAAAAGCTATTTTTTTCCCCACGAGGGGTGGGGGGAACTGGGCAATCTGCGCATGCACATTGCCCCAGCAGGGCTGCCGCAGCTTTACCCCAGGGACTCCGCCCCGCAATGGGGGAGGGCAATGCGCATGCGCTGTTAGAGGGAGGGCGCATGCGCAATACCCGCCGCCAGGCTCGGGTACGGACGATGCGGTGGGCGGCCATGGTGGAGCAAGGGCACCCGGAGCTAGCTAGCGGCTGCGGTAGGTGCCTGGCGCCTCGGAAGCGGCTGCTACCCCCCGGGGAGGGCGGACCCGGCCGCTGCCTCCGTGAGGGGGGCGCGGCCCCTCCCCCACGCGTGCGCGGGTCGGAGCAGCGCCCCCCTCCCCTCATCCCTCCTGCGCAGCCGCGGTGCCGTCCCGCGCGGGGTATGTGAATGAGGTGTGACGTGTGCGCACGCGGGAGCTTAACCCTGCGTGTGCCGGGCTGCGGTGTCACGGGTGTGGCTGGGGCGGGGCTGGAGCATGCACGTGTAGACCCGCGTGCACAGGGTGGGGTGTGTGTGTAGACAGTTATACAAACACACACCTGTGTGTATAGACACACATGGATGTGCATCTACACACACATACATATCTAGATACACATGCCTCTGAGTATATCTGATACTTTTCATTGGACCAACTCAGAAAGTTGGAAAAATTCTTCTTAGCAGGCTTTTGGGTTTACACACATTTGTGCACACCCACACATCTCACCCCCCCCCACACATGTATATACACTTACCTACATATATGCACACACACACACACATATACATACATACATATATATATATAAAACTAATTTCCCTTTAGCCCAATAGTATTTTTCCCTGTTTTAGGGCCATTTGCTTGCAGGTGGGCCTGGTGCTTGCTGTGATGAAACCTTCAGTGGCTGTCACAAGAACTAAGACCCGGCAGCATCAAGTCAGTGGGTTGTTGTCTCCCAGTTTAAGTCTAGCTGGGATCACTCGGCAAGGGCTTTGTCACTCTTGACACAGGTTATGGAGGGTCAGACTGCTTATGGCTTCAGTCAAATTAAGTAAAGCAGATAATGCAATATCATAAAAACTTGTTTTTCAGGGATACAAGCCACATTTTATCTACCTATCTGCATAGGTACAGGTTTCCCTCGCTTTATGCTGTCCATGCATTCCTGGAAGACAGCGCATAACTCAAATTCGCATAAAGGCAATCCACTTTACAATGTAACAAATAGGGATATGTTCCAAGACCTCCACTGTACTGACCCCCAGACCCATTTCTACCACTTCTAGAAGCCAGTTTTGGTACTCACCAACAGCAGACAGGTGGCTACCACTGGATGCTGTGCTTTGCACCCCAGCTGCAACTGCCCCAGGAGCAGCGCTGCTAGGCTCCATTGTGCCCCCTGCCCACCCTGTGTCGGGACGCATGTGGCATTGTGCTGCTCCCGGGGCAGCTGCAGAAGCATGAGTGCTAGCTGCCCTGAGTGACGGGCTTCCACGACACCGATTGCATAGGAGTGAATTTACCTCACATACATCAAATTTTGGGTATTAAAAGGGTTGTCGCATAAGAGAGAATTCGCACATACAGAACCCACATAAAGCAACAGAAACCTGTATAGATATATGCTATCTATCTAAAAAGTATATCTGCTTCACTTTACCTGAGTAAAGCCATGAGCCATTTGTCTCTTCGTAAGCACATATGAGGGCCGCCCCCCCCAGGTTACATCATAACAAGAACTGTGCCCAGTCCCATTCGCAAGCAAGTGGCCCTAAAATAGGGGGGAAAAAAACTGGCTTATCTGTGCAGTATTTTATGAATGCCTGATGCTCTGTGGACACTTAAGAAATCTTTGCTCAACTCCCCAAAGAGTTTAATTAGTCACCTCAGATAATAAGTTGACCCCTGATCTCTGCTTTTTATTTGGTGAGAGGAGGGCAGAACAAGTATGAAGAAACTCAACGTGTGTAATTTTGATTTGCAAATTCCGTTCTGGCCCTGCTGCTGACTCCTTGCGTAGCCAGAAGTAGATGACTTTCCCTCTCTGCACATCTCCTCCCACTCTTCTGCTGTTTTACAAATTTAAATTATAAGCTGCCTTGGGGCAGATGCACTTAATAATTAACACAGCAGGCTTGTAATATCAGTAGTGGGCACTAGTAGCAAGCAACCGTCAGTCATTCTGGGTCACGGTGTGTGCATGAAAAGTCACCCAGACCTTCAGTGCATAAACATAGGCAGGGGTGGAGACTGGCCAGACTGTCAAACCCCCCTTTAGACAAAATTCAATGGCCTGATTGAGTCCAGACATTCACTGCCTGAATGGCTATAGTTGTATATGTGCCTGTGAATCAAACCCAGGTGTCCTGCATGGCAGAGAAGGATTCTTGCACTGAACCGCAGGGGACTTATGTAGCCCCTAAGGAGTATTATAATAGTATTAACAGTTTTCATGCTGCCCATTGGGAGTGACATTGTAGGGTGGACTTGGGAGGTGTAGCTGACAAGCCAGCAGGTGGCAAAAAAGTGGTGTGTGGTTAACTGGCTATGATACATGGATGAAGAAACAAGGTTGTTTGAGAGATGGGGACACTAAACCTAACAACTGCCAGATGACAGTTCAATTTCTGTTAGTCTGACGCAAAGCGAAGGGAACTGGGGTTGTCTGGGAGTTTTGGAACAGTTGCTAATACTGTCTTTTTCTGCCCTCAGAGTCTGATGTCTTTGAAACTGACCTCCCAATAACTATCTTAGTGCTGAGTGATGACGATTTTCTAGAAGATGAAGAACAGGAAGTCTCAACAGGTAATGATTTGAACAGTCAGGAGAAGGAAGAGGGAACTGCTTTGAATAATGGCAGCACCATAAAAAACACAGAGGAAGAGCAGAGGCCTTCAGATGATGATAACATTATAAGGAGTCAGGAAGAGGAGACCAATTTGAATGAGGACAATGTCACACATTTCAGCACTTTGAATGAGGCCTACTGTGTTGTAAAATATCCAAAGGAAATTTTAAGAAATGAGGAGGAAGAGGAGATTACTCTGAATGAGGACAACATTGTAAATTATCCAGATGAAATTTTAGAGAGTCAGGAGGAAGAGGAGACCACTTTGAATGAGGACAATGTTGTAAAATATCCAGAGGAAATTTTAAGGAATGAGGAGAAAGAGAAGACTACTCTGAATGAGAACAATGTTGTAAAATATCCAGAAAAAATTGTAGAGAGTCAGGAGGAGGAGGAGACTGCTTTGAATGAGGACAATGTTGTAAAATATCCGGAGGAAATTTTAGAGAGTCAAGAGGAAGAGGAGACCACTTTGAATATGGAAAACACTGTGAAATATCCAGAGGAAGAGCAGGTTTCTTTGAGTGTGTGTGAGAAACATTCCACCCAAGTTTTGGTAACTGATCCAGATGCTCTGAGCCATAGTAAATCCAGTCCAAATGATGAGCCTTCTACATCACCTTCTGCATCAACTTCCAGAATAGTCCCTGTGGATATAAGCAAGTGTGCTGAAGGCAAAGGACACGAGAATGATGACAATTCTCCAAAGGTTCTTTTTTTTCTGTCACGTGCTGAGAATGAGGGTGGGGACAGTCTGACAAATGGACAGGTGATTTTGGGAACAATATTTACAAATGAAAAGGAACTAAGGACTAATGAAAACAACAGCAGTCAAGAAAACCCACCAAAAACCCATTGCACGGATATGGAGACATGTGTTCACACTGAAGGTAACTCATTTTACTTACCAGAAGTAAAGTAAGAGATGATCTAGAAGATGGCATAGAGTGCACCCTCAGCAACTTTGCAGATAACACCAAGCTGGGGGGAGTAGTAGATATGCTGGAGGGTAGGGCTAGGATTCAGTGAGACCTAAACAAATTGGAGGATTGGGCCAAAGGGAATCTCAAGAGGTTCAGCAAGGACAAGTGCAAAGTCCTGCACTTGGGACAGAACAATCCCATGCACCAGAACAGGCTGGGGGCTGACTGGCTGAGCAGCAGCTCTGCAGAAAAGGACATGGGGGTTACTGTGGACAATCAGCTGAATATGAGCCAGCAGTGTGCCCTAGTCGCCAAGAAGGCTAATGGCATACTAGGCTGCATCAGTAGGAGTGTTGCCAGTAGGTCAAGGGAAATGATTATTTTCCTCTGTTCAGTACTGGTGAGGCCAC